TATGGACAACATTGCAAAGAACGAGTATTCCAGAACACTTAATTGTGTTCATGAAGAACCTACACAAGGGACAGTTGTTTGAACAGAACAAAGGGACACTGAATAGTTTTTAAAATTAGGAAATGTGTGCAGCAGGGTTGTATTATTTCACAATATTTATTTCATCCTTATGCTGAGAACCTGGATTATATGGAAAAGAATGTGACATCAGGATTGGAGGAAGACTTATTAACAACCTGCCCTATGCAATTGATACAATCTTGCTTGCTGAAAGTGAAAAGAATTAAAAATACTTACTGATGAAGATCAAAGACCACAACCTTCATTATGGTTTGCACTTCAATGTAAAGAAAACAAAAATCCTCATCACTCGACCAATAAACAACATTCTTATCAATGGAGAAAAGATTAGAGTTGTCAAAGACTTCATTTTGCTTGGGTCATCTATCAGCATTCATGGAAGCAGTAGTCAAAAAACCAAACAATATGTTGTGTTAGTCAAATCTGCTGCCCAAGACCTCTTTAAAGTGTTTGAGATCGCTTTATGTGCCTGACACAAGTGATGGTATTTTCAATATATGCATATGAAAGTTGGACATTGAATAAGGAAGACTGTATAAGAGTTGATGCATTTGAGTCATAGTGTTGGAGGAAAATATTAAAAGTACCATAGACTGACAGAGGTAAAAAAAAAATCTGTGTGGGGGAAAGCACAGCTAGAATGCGCCTTAAAACCAGATGGCCAGATTTCATCTCCCATACTTTGGACATATTATCAGGAGGGATCAGTCCCTGGAAAAGGATATCAAGCCTGGTAAAGTAGAGTCAGCAAAAACAAAGAAGACCCACCAGTGAGCTGGAAGTGTACCTACACTCCATACTGGAAGATGGGCAGGCTTTGGAAATGCCTGAGAAGGAATTCAGAAAAAGATTACAAAATATATCAAAACACTATACAATGGAGTTGAGAAAAATAAGGAAGAGGTCAGGAAAGCACTACAGGAACAATCAAATAAGAGATACGGCATTGGAAACAATTCAAAACCTACAGAAAGAGGTCCAAGTGGTTAATAACAGAATATCAGGAATGGACAATACACTGAAAGGGTAAAGGAGTAGAATTGAAGAGAGAGAAGCCAGAACTAGTGATCTAGAAGATAAATCTCTCAACACTACTAAAATAGAAGAGCAAGCACAAAAAAGGATTAAAAAATCTGAAGAAGAACTAAGATTCATGTTGGACAACATGAAGAGGAATAACTTAAGAATGATTTAAGAATTATCAGCATTCCGGGACAGGAAGAATCACACAAGTCCACAGAGGAGATAGTTGAAGAGCTTCTGAAACAAAAATCTGGAAAAGCAAATAGATAAGCATTCAAGAAGCTCAATGAACCCCAGGATAGAGACCCTAAATGACAATCACCAAGACATATAATAATCAAGCT